TGGGATCTAACATCACCTTTTTCATAACGTTTTCTTCCAAAAGATAAGGAAAATTTATAATTCACGTACAATTCTCTGGTAGTGTTGATATTTGAAACTGGACAAATGTCTTCATTTCTGTATTCTCAAATGATAGCTTCCAAATAATGCAAGAAAATATTTGAGAAGTAGTAACTTTGCACTTGGGAAATGGAATAAAAGCTGCTAATAGGTGTCTCAGCATCAACCATACAAAGATACCCACCAAACCAAGATAGAAATAGACTAGGCCAATTTGAATACTTAAGAAATCAGATATTGGTGTAAACTTTGTACCCTGAAGTAAAATTTTCTATGTGTCCTAAGAGCTTGGGGGGGATTTTCACTGTGCAAATGCTGTATTTTCATTTCAGCCTGGCTGAACCATTAATTACATTTTGAACGTTCACATCAAAGTCAAGGACTGAAGAGTGTTTTTTAATACCTCATCACCCACTGATGCTTTGCTACCTTTCATTACTCTGGCGGGCTGCAGCAAATACTCCGCAGCCAGGAACCTTTCTGGGATCCTTGGGATATGCAAGTCTGGAGGGGTCTGGAGCTCAAGTGCTATGAGGAGAGGCTGAGGGAGCTGGAAAGGGGCTCAGCCTGGAGCAAAGGAGGCTCAGGGGGCCCTTCTGGCTCTGCACAATCCCTGCCAGGAGGGGACAGCCGGGGGATCGGGCTCTGCTGCCAGGGAACAGCCACAGGAGGAGAGGGAACGGCCTCAGGCTGGGCCAGGGGAGGTTTAGATTGGATATGAGAAAAAATTCTTCACAGAAAGGATGGCCAGGTGTTGGAACAGGCTGCCCAGGGAACTTCTGGAGTCACAATCCCTGGAGGGATTTAAAACACATGTAGGTGTAGAGCACTTGGGATATGGTTTCCTGTGGGGCTTGGCAGTGCTGGGCCAACACTTAGACTCGATCTTAAAGGGCTTTCCAACCTAAATGATTTGATGATTCTAAGTGGCCTGAATGAAACAAACTTTCAGTGGAATTCCTTCAGTGGAATCTTGTTCTCAATCGAGGTAAAAAGACATTGTTGAGCAAACAATGCCCAGAGAGTGCTTTTTCTGCCATCAGAATTTCACAGAAAAGCTGACTTTTAAGGCCAGTTTTGCTCATTCCTTATTGTGTGTCACAGAGCTCATTTTGTTCTCTGTCATCCTCTTGCTCAAGGTGAGGCGTAGAAAAGAAAAGGTTGGTTTAGATTATCAATAACAATTGTCACAGCTCTGTAACCCTGCATCAGGGGAGGAACAGAGAGGAAAGGAAGCCGTGGAGGGACACTGGGGTTTGAACACAGAGCCCGAGTGGAGGAGTGAAGTTAAACACAGACAATCAGCTGCTGCCCCCGGGTTAAGTACCTGCTGCAGGAGCCTAATTGCAAGAAATTGCTGCTGTCAGTAGAGACACCACAGCAGGTGGAGATGTCCCTCCTCATCTGGGGCCCTGTGCCTGTGTCCCCTGACCCTATGGAGAGCAGCAGGCAGAGTTTATTAGCAGTGCACTGATTAAATTCTGTTTCCCAGCAGCAGGTTACAGAGACTGAGAATGCACAAAGGGAAGAAAAAGGAGCGTGGCATGAGCAGCAAGCTTTGTGTGAATCCTGAACTGATGCTTTCAGATACAGAGAGAGAAAACAGGTGTAGCTATGAATTCTGCCTTCCCCTCTGCACACCCACACTGAGGTCATCAGTCAGTCAGTCACTTCAACCAGCACAGGCCATCCAGAATCTGGAAACCTCAGGAAAGTCCCCAGCCCTTCCTCTAGACAGACTGGGAAGAGATAAAGAGAAACTTGGGTGCACTGGAAGATGGTAATGCCACCAAAACCTGTGTTCTCCAACTATCAGCACAGTACAGCCTCTCTCTGCAGCCCAGGAAAAATTGAAATTAATTTTTATTTACAAAATATAAATTTGTCAGCATCACAGAGTGGTGGAGAAGCTCACAGAATATTTCAGTCCCACAATATATTGAAACAGTGGCCATTTTTCAAGCAACAGCAACAAAACTCATAAGCACAGGATCTCTGAAAGGCTTGGGTTGTCAGGGACCTAATGATTTTATTCAGGGTGTAAGATAAAAGCTGAAGCCTTCTCTCTCCCCACTTTAAGCCTTCTCTCTCCCCACTTTATTCCTTATTCCTCATCTTCCTCTCTTAATTTCCACAGGATGAAACAAGCCTAGGGAAACACACCTACTATTAAAAAAAAAAGCAGCAAGGCAAACAGAGGGAAAATAATCCAGAGGTTTACCTTAAATTCAAAATTCATAGGTGTGTGGCAGTTCAGGGTAAACCCAGCCCCTCCACAGTGTGTGCTGCTCTTCTCTTGGAAGAGATCCTGTCCCACAAACACCTTCCACAGCCCTGTCCCATGGACAGACCTCTCGGAGTGAGGGACAGCCCATGTGCAATGTGTCCTTCTGTGCCAGTTCCCCTGCTGAGCCTCAGCCCTCACAGCTCCTGCACATTCCAATGCCTCTGAGCCAAAATGTGCCATAAATACCTTTGCAGACATGACAGATGAAAACACTGATTAAACAAAGTTCTCCAGTCCTGCAGTGCTGTGGAAGTGTTTTGGCTTTGCCCTTCTCTGAGGAAGGAACATCCCCCTAACATTTGGATCTAATTTTTGCTTTCTTTTAAGCCACTTCAGATATCATCAGTGGTCCACAGGGTGCAGACAGAGATGAAAGTGAGCAATTATACAGAAAGGGGTGTTCTGAAAGACTTGCAACAGAGAAAAGAGAAGAGAGGAGTGAGACTGACACAAAAATCACCAGAGAACAAACAACCTGTTTGTGAGGCCTTCAATCACTGCAGCCCAAACCCTGTACAAAGAAACAGGTGTCATTACAGCTGATAAACTAAATCAGGCTATTTTAGGGCATTCTCTGAGCAATAAGGAAGGTGGATTGCCACCACACTATTATAAAAGAAATAGGAAATAAGTTAAATAAATGGATTATGTGGTTAGGTGAGCCAGGGACAGAGCTCTCCTCACAACTCACATATTCATTTCAATTCAGTTAACTGAAAATACTCTTCATTATTTTATTGAGCTGGCTTTGTTTCAGTTGCAAATTTTACTTAGAGTTCTGCACTGAAAGATATTTTCTATTTGAAAATATAAATAAAAAGGAAATATATTAAAAAGTAGATAAAATATATATAAAAAAAGAAAATATTTGATACATTACAAATCCCATAAAGCATCCTCTAGTCTCAGACTTTTACTTTGTTAAACAGAACCAAACAAAACTTTGTTAAACAGAACCCTAACAATGCCCTTAAATGGATCAATCTGGACCTCTCCACTTGTTACAAAATGTGCCTGTCACCCTCCCAGACCAAATCCAGGTGCTGGCCAAGGGCACAGGGAAAGCAGAGGCTGTGCAGGACCTGAGCTGCCAGCAAAGCCTTCCCAACACCTGCCCCAGCACTGCTGCAGCCAGAGCTCAGCTGCCAAAACCCCACTTGTAAACAACTTCAAGATAATTAAGCACTGCTTTTTAAAAAAGGTTTATTAGCATCTATTTAAAGGAAATTTATTTCATAATATTATGAAATGGCAAAATGAGAGCTTGCTTTTTTTTATACCCCAAACCTGTTGTTCCTTAACACACTTAAAAAATAACAATTTAAAAGAACAATAAAGGGTAATTACTGATTTTATTAAAAATATCTATCATGGATACACATAGCAATGGCAATCCATGGCTGGGAACAAAATGTACATTACTGAGCATTTTGATGATTAAATACAATAGCATAATTAAATATGCTAATGAAAGAGAGATTAGAAAGCAGGTAAACCGCTTGTTTTTTGCCAAACAAAAGTAAAAAATCAGATTTTAAAAATTTATTTCATTATACATCAATAAAATATTTAACTGTTTGTTTTACTAACACGTACATTTATTTTTATTACCTCTTCTTCTGTGTGCTTTGCTGTTATCCTCAAATGGACTAAGTAGAGGAGACTCAGAGTAAAACAGAAGCTAGATACTGACAAAACATAAATTATCTCTATAAAAATAAATAAGGTAATCAAAATAGTGACTAAAAGAGAGGCTTCCTCTCCACAGGCACGGGGCTCTTCAATTATTCTGAGCAGAGGAAAAAAGCATTCTTCTTCTTCAAGACATGTTTTCTCTCATTTGTAACTGTGGGTTTTTTTAATTTCTGTACAATCTGCAAGAGAAATCCTCACTGTTCCTTCACAATCATGTTCTTCAACAACTAACATTTTAAAAAGTGAAAATATTTCATTCAAACAGTGGCTGTGAGAGCACTACTGGAAGAGCCAAATTGTCCTGAAGCTCTTGAGGTCTCGACAGCCCACCAAGGGAGGTGATCCAGCCCAGGAGGCACCTCTGGGTGCTGTGTCCTGCCCTGGAGGCACCTCTGGGTGCTGTGTCCAGCCCTGGCTCCTCAGCAGAGCAGGAACAGGAGCTCCTGGAGCTGAGGAAGGGCCTGGAGCATCTCAGTGCCCAGGAAAGGCTGAGGGAGCTGGGGCTGCTCAGCCTGGAGAGGAGCCCCAGCTGAGAGGGACCCTCAGCCCTGGATGTCCCTGGGTGTTCCTGTGGGTCCCTGGCTGTCCCTGGGTATCCCTGTCCATCCCTGTCCATCCCTGCCCATCCCTGTCCATCCCTGTCCATCTTGTCCATCCCTGTCCATCCCTGCCCATCCCTGTCCATCCCTGTCCATCCCTGTCTGTCCCTGCCCATCCCTGTCCATCCCTGCCCATCCCTGTCCATCCCTGCCCATCCCTGCCCATCCCTGTCCATCCCTGTCCATCCCTGTCCATCCCTGGGCACAGGGAGGGACAGAGCAGGCCCAGGCTCTGCCCCAGGCCCAGGCTCTGCCCCAGGCCCAGGCTCTGCCCCAGGCCCAGGCTCTGTTCCAGGCCCAGGCTCTGCTCCAGGCCCAGCAATGGCACCAGAGCCACAGGCAGGGGCTGAGCCCAGCAATTCCCCCTGCACAGGAGCAGAACTTCTGCCCTGGGCAGAGCCCATAGAGGCTGTGGGGTCTCCTCCTGGGGATAATCCAGAGCCATCTGGACTCAATCCTGTGCCCTGGGCTCTGGGATGGCCCTGCCTGAGCAGGGAGGTGGCACCAGATGACCCCACCGTGGTCCCTTCCAGCCTGACCCATTCTGGGATTTATTAAAGAATGCACATAAAAAGTTCAGCAGAATAAATCATAATAGATTAAAAAAAAACAACAACAACAAAACAATCAACCAAACTCTGAAATTACTGGAAAGCATTGCAGAGAAAAGGAATACAAAAGATGAAAAATTCCTCTGTACATCAGAGACAAGGTAGGAAAACGTTCAACAGAGGGATCTTGCCTAACCCCAGCCTTCACTCTCACTGTGTCTAATGGAAGCACTAACCCCTGCCTTCCATTATTCTTCCCAAAAGAACACAAAAATAAAAAGACAGTGCCAAGCTTTCAACACTCAATTAAGATTTAGGATGTCACTCAAAGGAGGCAGAAAGCTGTTCTTGTCTGGTGATACTCAGCGAGTAGATCTGCCTCATTCATTGTTTATGTTCCCAATCAGGGCACACTATCTGTATTAAAGAGAACAAGACCACCTAATGGAAACCTCACAGCCTGGGGAAGTGCAAGGTACCAGTGTGCTCATCAGAATAAATTCTCCTGTGAGAGCAGTTTATTGATTTGTGTATTTGACTCTCTTTGGGATTATTGTTCAATTACTTTTATCCTCCGAGATGAAAGCAGCTGCGTGTAACATCAAAAGCAGATAAAAAGTCGCATGTTTCAAATTTTCTTTCAAATCTCCATAACATCCATTAAAGATACAATTTTCAAGAGGGCCCTCTGAGAGCGACAGCAGAGGGTAACTCCATCAGACATACAGCTCTCATCTGTATTTTCGCTAATTATTCTGGCTGAAGCATTCTCCCTGTAAAACACATTATTTGTCCTTGAGAAGTGACAGTCTGCAGAAACTGTCTCTTCTTTATCAGGTGAGCTGCTCACTAATTTTTGTTATGCTTAGTGATTCATCACCACTTAAAATTGCAAACACACAATTTCCACCTCTAACTTGTAGCCCTGTTGAGGTTAAAACATGGTGTTGGTAGTGGTGGTGAAGAGATGGTGAACATCTCATTTTGCTGGTTTGCATTCATTCCTCTCTAAAGGTAATTCATGCTCTGCTTGCAGTAAAAACAAAACAAAACAAAAAACAAAGATATTTTTGATTGCCAACCCTCTCTGGGACACAGACTCACACCATTTTTGGTTTGCTGCATGTCACAAGCACTGCAGCACCTGGAATCAGGTGAAAAAACTCCTTTTTTGAGGAGCAGGTGTAGCCAGCAGTTGCCTGGTGCTCCTCTCACTCACCAGGTGAGCTTTGCTGTGCAGTCAACAGGCAAAACTGGCCTCAGCTCCTCAAACATGAAAATGAACACTACTGAAAGCCTAGAATCCCAGCAGGGTAATTTTAAGATGTTTAGTGCACTGGGTTAATGGTTCCTGTGCTCTGTGTGGCAGGGACATTCAGGCCACAGCTCAGCTTGCAAACACTGCCCTCAGTGAGCACAGCCCTCCGTCTCAAAACTCATCAGGGGTGACCTCAGCCACTCAAAACTCATCAGGGGTGACCACAGCCACTGCCAGCATGAACGTGAGCTTTGGTAAAGCTCAACATGAAGTAAAACAATGAATTTAAATAAATAATTTCACTCCCAGTTTGCATTTCTGACCAGTTGCTCTTTACTGGGCTCTGAGATGAACTATCCTGACACAAACAGGTCAGAGGGGCAATCCAGCTGCTCTCTGCACTCCTGGGACAGCCCTGCACTCTTCCCACCAGAAAGCCACTCTGAGATGGGACCAGAAAGCCACTCTGAGATGGGACCAGAAAGCCACCAGGCAGAGATGGAGCACAGGAGTTCCAGCCCATTGCAGCTGGATCTTTACTGCATTTGAGCCATTCATCTGCTCTGGAACTACTTTTGTCTTTGTCACAGAGTGTTGTAAAAATCTTTGCAAAGCTGTTTCCAAGCAGCCTGTAAAGCACATTGGTTTTCTTTCAGTGATGTAATTACAAGGGGAAGGCAGTCATGAATATTAGTGAACTTTGAAATATTGTTTCTAGGGGGCAATAGATTTTACCCAAAGGGATATTAGTGCTCCACCTCAACATTACAAAAAAATCATTTTAAAACTTACAGCAACACATTTCAAGTCCATTACCATGCGTTTTCAAATGTCATGCCTTGAATGTGACAGTCAAATTCCTGAATCAATCAACCAAATGGAATTATTTCACTCAGAAATTATGTGAAGAGAAAGTAGCAAAAAGCAGTAAAAATGTAGAATCACTTTATGCTGTAACTTAAGCAACTAAACAGGCTTCTAGGTGAAATAAGGAGCAGCACACTCTGTGTGTCTGCTTTAAAGGATGATGAACTGCACAACACACTGGGGATTTTTTTTTCTGTAGTAGAACAAGGTTTAGGGTTTCAATTTGTGATCTGTCCCACAAATAGTGCCTGGGATATTTGCAGGGAGCACCAGGTGCCTGAGCACAGCTCACTAGCTGGGTACCCACCACATACAAGGGACAAATCCAGCATGTGCCAACTGCAGTGTGTCTGCTGCCTTAGCCTGAATCTCCATTTGTGCTGTGTGCTCTTCCTCAGCTAAATCTTCCAATATCTTCATGAGTCTTTATGGAAAACAGGCCAAGCCTGGCTACTCCAGTTAGAAATCCTGCTCTGGAGCATCCTTGTAAGGCAGTTTGAGCATCCTTGTACACCAGTTTAACTCACATCAATAGCACGGCACATTCTGCCCTCTGCACTGAAGAAAATGAGAGTTTTGGGAGCCTTTCTGTCCTGGCTGACATCCCATTATCCCAACAAGGCATATTTAACATAGTCACAAGATTTATGGCACTGGTGGCTTTCAGACACAAAAATGAACGAATTCAGCGAATTCTGCCTCTCATCTCTGCTCTGGTGTTCATGTTCGTGCCTTCTGTTTGTTTTACCCTCCAGCACCTCCAGACAGGAAAGATCTTTTTCCTGGAGCTGCAGAGAAGAGGTGGTGTTTCTATGTGGAAGACAGACAGAGTATAAGATCAATCAGGATCAAGAATCGTAAATTTCATTTCTTCTCCCAGTGCTCTCACAATTTCAGGTGGGTGATAGGTAATTAATCCACATCAGCCAGTGCTGGTGAAGCACCTTGTCCAAAAGCAAACATGATATAATCCAGTGATCAGATGCTGGGGGAAAATGGCTGATGGATGGGGAAAGAGCTGTCTACCTTTATTTTCTTATTTCCATTAGAAAATGAAGGCCAAATACCAACCAATAAAGTATAAAAAATACACTCTTGTATTTCCAAATGCCAGCAAAAAATAATCTCCTGATTTAAGTGTAGCTAAAAAAAAATCTCTTTAGTTTTCAAACTGAACCTAAGTAGTTGTATGAAAAGAAGATTTTATGTAATAATGGGTAGCAATATGAGGCAATGAGATTTGATAGTGTCAGAGAGAGTTTTCAGTTGTATGAATTGACATGCAAATGTAAAAAGAAACCTGAGAAAACCCCTTGAAGTAAGTTACAATTCACAGCAGGTGCATCAGGCACAGCTCAGAGTGAACTAAGTTCTGATGAACTTTGTTCTGGCTTCTTGTTCCATATTAGAACCTTCCATTTTTTATGCATGCAGGGCTTTGTGATGCTGCAGGGGAAAAGCCAGAGGCTCCCATCCCCAAATATACCAGAAAGGAAATCATGGGGCCCAAGATGCTCATTTAAAATGAGAACCAGAATTTATTTATTTAGCTCAGAAGATTACATTTGTCATTACACTGACACAGACAAGACTTATGTTAAATAACCATTTTGAGCATCAGCTATTTGGAAATTAAAACAAAACAGAAAGAGTATTTTCTCCCACACTGGGACCATAATGGGAATGTCAGAGTGTGATTTTCACACTTTGTACTCATGACTGTGCTGCCTGGGTGTGATAAAGATGATCCCAGGAATGTGTATTTAATAGGAGCCAACTGGTCACATTTGAGTTAATTAAGGAGTTAAAAATCCTGAGAACAGTTCTGAGTTATAGATTACCCACAGAGCACAAATCTCTTTATACACTCCCATAGCAACTCCTGCACAAGTTAATGTTGTAATACAGGGAGCAGCATAAGGAGATTTCTGTCCCAACTCAGAGCAGTTTAACTTCAACTTTTGTCAAAGGTATTACTGCAACAAGACTTGCAGTTGGCTGGGACAAATTCATCAGAGTCAGTTTGAATCAGCCATGCCCTCACAGGCTGCCTCATCAGAGGAATGTGATCAGCCTCAGGAGAGCAAAGCAACAACCCTGGCACCGTACAGGGTCTCCCATCTTACTGAATTCCTTCAAACCATCCATGTGAGAGGCTAGAGATTAATAAATAACTTAATAATACTGGGAGCACCCTAGTGCTGACCCCACAAACAAAGGGGGCCTGTGTCAGATGTGGTAAAAGAAATGTTGTAGAATATTAGAATCACTGAATCATTAAGGTTGGAAAAGCTCTCTAAGATCTCTCCAAGTGTTGACCCAGCATGGCCAAACCCACCACTAAAACAAGTCCGTAGGTGCCATATCTAAGCTCAGGTTCATGCAGAATTCCAAGTTTTAGATGGCCTGACATCCTTGCAGTTTAGTCTCAGAATGTGTGAAATCCTTTTTTTACAAGCTCATGCATAAATATATCAATTAACATTACTGTTTAATCCATTTATATCTAAAGCAAAGTGGCATGAAAATGTAGCACTGGAACCACAACAGATTTTGGGGATAATTTGGTGAAACTACAAAGCCATGAAGAGTTTCCCCACTGTCAAAGCAAACACACATTTGATCACTTTCTAAAAGGGGTTCCTTCCTTTCTGTTCCTTCCCAAAGGAAGATTTTAATCTCCAGGAATGAGGGTGCAAAGCAACGTGCTTGTCACCTCTCCAGCCTGCTTTATTCTTATACCAGCCTAGCTCTCAAATGCAGGGGCTGTGCATCCTTAGCAGTGCAGCCACTGAAACTCCATAAATGCTGCAAATGTCACTGAATAAATTAATCAAATACTGGGCTGGTTATTTCCTGTTGGATCCCATTCTGTTCTGGGATATGCATCCAACAGGCAGTTTAAAACTAGTTTGAGTATGTCTTCACAAACAGGAGGCAATATCATCAAACTGCTAAAAACTGTGTACTGTGTGTGTACAGTCCCTCAGCCAGAAAAAAAGGAAGGTATGAAGAAAGAAGAAACAGAAATTAAGAAACAGAAATTAAAAACCAGAAATTTTCATCTGCAGGGGTAATACTCTTGTGAGGATAATCCTCCTGTCCAGGATGTGACAAATCCAACTTGCTAGGAGATGGCTTTGAGACGTGAAATAAAGCTGCATTCAGCTGCACTGGACAGCACATGTCTGGTGCTTCTATTATAAGCAGAAATTAATACCCAGGTAGAAATAACCCTAAATCAGCCTTATTTAGTTCATCAGCTGAAATGCCAGCCTTCACATAAGAATACATTTTTGGCATTTCCAATCTTACGCTTCCTTGTGATAAAAAGCCAGACTTGTCACTTAATCCTGGGCTGCTGCTGGGGCAGGGAGGGAAGCTGAGAGTGGAGCTTGTATCTGACTGCTCAGTGTGTCCTCTGCCAGCACAAGGGGAGATGTTCTGCCCAGCACAGGGATATTCCTGGCCAACCCAGGTGCTGGGAAGGAGAAGGAGCAGTCTGTGACCACTGCACCCAGCTTGGAGGCTCCCAGCACAAGAAAGACTCAGACCTCTTGTTACAAGTCCAGAGGAGGCCACAGAGGTGCCCCAAGGACTGGAGCCAGGCTGGGAGAGCTGGGGGTGATCGCCTGGAGAAGAGAAGGCTCCAGGGAGAGCTCAGAGTCCCTTCCAGAGCCTAAAGAAATCCTTCCCTGTGAGGATGTGAGGCCCTGGCACAGGGTGCCCAGAGCAGCTGCCCCTGGATGCCTGGAAGTGTCCAAGGCCAGGCTGGACATTGGGGCATGGAGCAAACTGGGATAGTGGAGATGTCCCTGTCATGGCAGGGGGTGGAACTGGATGTGCTTTAAGGTTCCATCCAACCCCAACCATTCCATGATTCTATGTCTGATGATAGAGACCTGTGGATGTGCAGTGGGCCCCTCTGACAGCAGGGATTAAGAACAGCTTGGCATTGCTTAGTACGGAAGCATTTTCTGAGCAGGCAATTAATCCAGCTGCATTTAAACAATAATAATAACTAAAAAGACTGCTGCATTTAAAGAGTTATTCTGAACTGAGAAAACAGCTTGGATTTCAATGAGACTTTAAAAAATGTCTGCTGGGGGTATTAACCAGACTGCTGTAATCCTGACACTGCTGTATGTTCAGATTACACTGAGAGCCCTGGCTGGGTTAGGAGCTACATTTTTATAGGCTTGACAATGTGTCTGAAAAGCTGTTTTATTTGTATTTTCTCCCACATAATGCCTCTATTAAAATCCTTTAAGGGTCTTTTCTTAGTGTCAGGCTGATCAGATAAAAATGCTGTTAAAGGAGTGCTGACCCTGTCCCTCCCCCTGTGCTCTCCTCACACTTCCCTTGGGCATAGAACTGCTTTGCTTTATTTTTGTTTGAGCTAAAATGCAAGCACATCCTGGAAAAGGGCAATTATTGGGCTAAATGTAGGGCATTGATTTTGTTCAGAGCAAACTCTTATCTGTCCTCCACTACCCCAACAAGTGTCTCTAGCATTTGGAAATGCACATTTGTTCAAATATGTACATTCCCATAAGAGCTAACCATCTTAATGGCACCGCACTGCTGACTTCAACACCCCGGCGGAAGGAGGACATGAGCGTGAAATTAGAATTAAACAGCTGGTCATAAATTCTATCTAGACCCTTCATAAACACGTGTTGCTGGAGTGCATTGCAGCCAGAGCTCAGCTGCAGGAATTTCAATTTCTCTTGGTCGGGTTAAGGGAATAACTGGGGAATTACAGTTGGCATCGCTGTCTTCTCTTCCCCCAGCTCAATTTCCAGACACATTCCTGAGGACTCCCTATCTGCCTAACCTAATCATTATTATGGTTGTGGCATATTCTACACTGCTCTAAGTCATTTTCCAGCCTTAGAAATTGGAGATTTTGGGATTGTTGTTGCTGGGTTTTCATTATTATTGCTGTTTTTCCTGTGATTATTATTATTGTTTTCTGCCAATATGAAATGGTGTAGAGAGCAAACCCCTCTAGATGGCCAGGGAATCAGATCATCCCCATCACACAGAGATTCCTTGTGAGTACCCACAGCTGATTCTCCTAAATCATGAGAAAAATGGACAATCCTCACAGAATGGTTCTGAGTGCCTTCACTTTAACCAGACACACTTCACTTCGCAGTCCTGACACACTTGAGTTTTAAATTTCACGGGAGATTTTCTGAAGATGAAGAGGGAAGAGAAAGTGGCTGTATCCGTAAATCTGGAGTGGAATGGAATGGATGCCACTTGGAGATGCAGGACATTTCTAATCTTCTTTTCAGGATAAGTTATAACCACCTAGGGAGCAAATGCTAACAGATCTCTGGTAGGAATATTGTTATTTTAATAGCTGAACAGTAATTATTTTTTCTCTACCCTTCTTTCTTGCCCTTTACTCTGAACAGGAGGAAATCAGTAACAGTTGGGGAACAACCAAACATCCATCTGAGTTTTTTAGCACTTATAGGCAGGAATAGAGAGGAAAATGAGATTAGGAATAAAGTATGCCCTTTATATAAATTCAATGGCATTGTAAATAGAAAATAAGTGTGTCTCAGCATAAATGCTGTTACAACATGCAGACCTGTGGTGCCAAGCTGTGGCAGTAGTTATTGGAATGTTTCAGTAACCTATTAACAGACCTTTTCTTGGAAACCCTTAGCATTCTTTAACACACTTCCAGCAAATGGATTTCCAATAAGCATCTAGATCCTTTCTCTTCTTTCCATTTCCAAATAAACTCTTCCAGGGCACAGTGGTGTGTTTGTGTGGAAATGTCTTTGCTGAGAAATTGAAAGGCAGGATCTGGATCAGTTCCCTGCGTGAGCTTTGCAATATCCCTGAAAAGTGTTGTGATCTGTATTTGGTGCCCAGAGCATTGCTTAAGCTACTGAGGAGAAAACTAATCTCTTGCACTTTCATTGGCAGCACTGTCTCATAGAGTGATCCTAATGGGGTGGAAATGAGCTCAGCTGCCTAATTCTGTTAAAAACATAGGCTTTTTCTCACACATGAATGCCCATCTACTTCCTTCTAGCCTTGCTGAAGCCATGGCAGCAAAGAATCGAGTCATAGTTGCCGAAAACAGAACACACTGCTTTTTTTCCACTTCAGCTCTTTTAACTTATTTATTTATTTAAGCACAGTAAGAAACAGCCAGTGGAAGAAATTATTCACACAGAAAAAAAACCCAAAAACAACCCATTCTAAAGCAAAAAAGATCTTGATGTGGACAAATGAGCTTTTCCTTAACTTTTAAGGCATGACTAACTTGCTCATTAGCAGGATAATTTTAAGCAGTGCTGTAAACCTTGTTTTTATCATCTCTGTTTCACAAGTCACAGGTGAGGGCAGTGCAGCCACAGAACCAGAGGTGCCTCTTGTCAATCCAGCTTCATCCAGCTGTGATCCATGTAGACAGTCCAAGCCCTTCCATGGGCTGCTGTGGAGGTGTGTTGAGTTGTTGGCTGCAGTAACAGAGCTCTTTTTTTCCCAGCTGGTGGATGACCACTTCCCTGCTCCTGCCTCCAGGATATGATGGAAGCAGGCAGGGCTGTAAATCAGCCTCTGCATTCCCATCTGCCTGGAAGTGAGGACATGAGCAGTCATGGGGCTCCCTGGTGTGATTTAGTGGGCATAGTGGTGTTCAGTCAAAGGTTGGGCTTCAGGATCTTAGAAGTCTTTTCTAACCTCAAAGATTTTATGACTATTTTGTGCTATAGAAACAATCCTCTGGGTGTACTTTTAGGTTCATTAGGGTTGACCTTCCTGTCTGGCTCATTAAAACCAAGACCAAATTTGTTAAGGACTCTGGAGGAGACTGAGGTCAGACCTCACTGGGGGCTGCAGCTCCTCCCGAGGGGCAGCTCTGATCTCTGCTCCCTGTGACAAAGACAGGTCCTAGGGAATGGCTGGAGCTGTGCCAGAGGAGGATCAGGCTGGATTTTAGGGAAAGGTTCTTCCCCAGAGGTGCTGGCACTGCCCAGGCTCCCCAGGGAATGGGCACGGCCCCGAGGCTGCCAGAGCTCCAGGAGCACATGGTGGCATCCTTGGGGTTGTCTTGTGTAGAGCCAGGAGCTGGACTGGATGATCCCAGTTGGTCCTTTCTACTCAGGATATTCTGTGATTCTATGAATTATTTGAGTTCCAAGAAGAATGTATCCATACAGCACATTGTGGGGAAGCTTAGAAACAGAACAGCAACACACTTTTGCAGGGATAATGATCTTTATTACATGCTTCATCATTTTCCCTTTGGAAGACTGCAGGGAATGTGCTGATGGCCACTCCAGTCCCGTGCTCTGAGGGAGCTGGGGATGTTCCTCAGGCAGAGCTGGCTGTGGGAGGGAGGACCCAGGCAGGGTGTGGGAGTAACACAACTCATGTCCCTTGTGGGAGACTGCCATGACTATTCATTAAAGCCTGCTCTTACTCTTGTAGGGCTGTAGCTGTGTGCTGATAACTGCTTTGCCATGCAAATGAGCTGGAAAGGGAGCTGGAAAGGGAGCTGGAAAGGGAGCTGGAAAGGGAGCTGGAAAGGGAGCTGGAAAGGGAGCTGGAAAGGATGTCTCCAGGCCTCCACAACAAACAGGGATTAGGGAATGGGAAATTACAGCTTTCTTTCATAAAATAGTGTTGAGCAAAAGGGCAGGGCAATAACTTGATATTCCTCAGTGAATAATTCAAATTCTTGGGGGTTTGTTTGCTTGTTAGAACCCAGAAGTTCCTCAAACTCACGGAGCAAGTGGTCTCAGGTTTTCCTGGGGAACTTTTGTAGATAAAATCCAAGTCTGCTGTCTGCACTGGGAATGTTCACCAGTTCCTCAGCCTTCCTGTTGGAGCAGTGACTTGACCTTTGCAGAGTCCTTCCTTCTGCAGTGTGGGGCGTGAATCAACAAACCAACCTCATGGGAACTGTTTGAAACTAAAAGAGCAGAGATTTAGGTTGGATATTGGGAAGAAATTCTTCCTTGTGAGGGAGGTGAGGCCCTGGCACAAGGTGCCCAGAGCAGCTGTGGCTGTCCCTGGATCCCTGGAAGTGTCCAAGGCCAGGCTGGACAGGGCTTGGAGCAGCCTGGGACAGTGGAAGGTGTCCCTGCCATGGCAGGGGGTGGAACTGGATGAGCTTTAATGTCCCTTACATTCTGTGATTCCAGGTCCTGAATTAAGCTGGAAAGTGTCAGGCTCCCCAGATGTCAGCTCCAAAATCAAATACATCAGCAATGAGGAACTTGATGGTGAAGCAGATCAAATGCAGCACTCAGCAGCTGAAGCCTAATTCAAGAATGCTATGGATTTTCTTATGCAAGTAATCATTACATGTGCATAAAGATCCACAGGATTCAGGTAGAAAACAGAACTACTTCAATAGGTTAACATGACAAGAGTCTCCCATGGAAAACAACTGCTGCAGTTATAACTGTACTTTTGCCTACAGTACACTGGGGCAAAAAGAACAAAGAAACTTGATGTCCGTGCTTTGAATAGAGGCACAAATCTAAACATATTAGATAAAAAGTCTGTCTTTTTTCCTCATTTTGTTTCTAATGCTTCAGAAGAATAAAAAACCACACCAAACAAGTTGTACAGAAAGAGACAGAGATGAAGGCTGCACGCTCAGAAGCTGATGATCTGGAGAACAAATTTCCTCCTTGGAATAGAGAGCAAGGGAAAAATCCTCTGGTTTGTTTGTTTGTTTTGTTTGTTTTTTGGGTTTTTTTGGGTCTTTTTTTGTTTGTTTCTATTTGGCTGTTTGTTTGGCTGGTTTGTTGTTTTGGTTTTTTGTTTTGTTTTTGGGGATTGTTTTTATTGTTTGGGTTTTTTATTTATTGCAGTTTTGTTTATTTTTTGTTTTGCTTTGTTTGGGGTTTTTTTGGGTAGGGGGAGTGGTTTGTTTTTTTTTCCTAGAACTTTTAAATAGAGTGCTGGAAAATACTAAAATCTTAAGTCTGATATCCATCAATAGCACCAAGTAAGCTTGACATGGGAACACCTAAATGGCTCCAGATTTCAATTTCTACCTGTATCTAGCAGGAAAAATGCTCCCCCAGGTTGAACAGGAAAAAAAGGTTGCCTTTGATACAATAAATATTGGAATCATTGCATTAGAGACAGCCACCCTGCTTCACACCTGGAAGCTTCCAGCTTATACCACAAGTGCTGTAACTTCATGTATTTCTCTTTCCTTTACAATTCCTGTAAAAGGTCAGAGAATTGGTAAAATCCTGCTGCTGAGCAAGAAGCAGTAGGAATCCACACTGGCTGCCTGGGGGGATCTGCTCCCCTTCCAGGCCCTAAACCATGCCAGAGTTGACTCAGGGACTACAATAACTCAGATTTTACCAAAAGCTCTGGAACCAGCTCAGGGGTGTTACTAAAATCAGTTGTTTCACAGCAACAGCAGGAATGAAGTGGCCCCTCTGCAGGAGCCACCCCCAAGAATTTATGCCCCAAAAAGCTGCATTTGGGAGCATGAAGTGACAGAACAAACCTGGCCCATGGATTGAATTTGTCACTGGAGCATCAGTGCTCACAGAGATCTGTCTCCAGCTAGCCAGAAATAGAGGGAAACAACTCTCAGTCACTGCTGACAGTCTGCTTTTATCTCTGTACTTGCTTTTCCTAGTCCAAAACTGTACCAGCAATCAAATGGGAATAAAAGAAGTTTTCTTTGATGAGCATGTCATGCTGATGAAAGGCAGCAGAAGTTCTCTGTGTAGACAAGAGCCACAAACATTAACAGACATTGGCACTTGGAGCTCTTCTCCCTGTCAGTCCTCAAAGGGGTGTTTTTATGAATGGAATTCTGCGTAGGAAGGGAAATTGCTGCTTAATTTCTGCCAGTGCTCCCAGCTCATCCACCCTCATGGAGCAGCCCCTGTTGCAAATCCCTGACTATTCCTGTATTTGCCATTGAATTCTGAGATTAAGACAAGCCTTTATATTAATAAATCAGTCTTATCATTCAGCACTTCCATATTGCTTTTTGTTGCCTTTGAATTTTCAGCAAATGTTTGTTTAGTTTGCTTCTTTAATAGGAAGGGCTGAACTTCAGATGTTATTTTGTCCAAAGCAGGCAAAGCTTTTGTCAGATGATAATCACAGATGTTGATGTATTTATATTGACCTATTTAAAATCTCAAATGGTTTTAATAGGATGGGAGGATTTTTAAAAGGCAGTTTTCAGAAGCATTATTCAAAAAGCATAATGGTCCCATTTGTCAAAAATTCAAGTTTGCCCTTTAGCACAGACCTAGGACATAAAGCAGACTTCAGACAAACTCCTTCCAAATTAGCTACTCTCCAATCTTTCAATAGCTGACTATGAAAACACATTTTACCCCAGCTCAGAGGACAGCCATTCTGTTCCAGCCTGCTCAAGAAGAAATTAAAGTTGAGTATGTTCAGCTCTTCAGATCTGAATGTGCCCTTCAGAAGGGGTCTTCAACCTTTATGGATTTCATATTCATTGAGGAAGGGGAGGGCAGGGAATCCTGAGGAAGGAAATGCCTGTGTGTGAGATGGAGCACTCACTGTGCTCCAAAGTGAGAGCCACTGTCAACTTCCTGAGGCTTTCACACCATCTACAAAATATTTTAGCTTGTGTTTGACTCAGCCCAGGGCAGGTAACCTTGGAGATAAGTTCTTCACAAATCAGGAAACACTTGTGCGTGTTCTTAAGACTTTCTGAAGTGCAATATTTACATCCTTCTATAATCCTGAGAGGAAACAGGTGGCTGGTCAGTGTATCTGTGCCTTTTCAATTACATGCTCAGGCTCCTGGCACAGGGCTCAGGGCTGGGTGGTTGCTGTGTAATTGCTACAAAACCCCTGGAATCTCCCTTTCCAAAGGGATTGCTTGTGTGCAATTTGCAGTGTGAAATTTGTCTTGAACTCTTTCCGTCTGCATCCGAGTGCAAACTGAAGACATTTATTTCTCTCTGCTTTCACAGGTTGCTTTACATTCAAGTTACAGTAATTAGTATGTACATAATGCTACAGACTGAACAATATAAACAGGTGCATGCTGGAATACACGGAGCAGATAAAGCAAGGGATGCATCTAAAGGTCTCACTTTTCTCCCAAGGCAATAGAAAACTCCATAGCCCAGATGTGAACTATGAGGAGAGTGCCAGGATTGTTACAGCAGAAACACAGTGAAGAACAAAAAACCTCAGACAGAGGAAGCAACATGTTCAAAATTGCTTTTTTAAAGGGTGTTTTAGAGTCCCTGCAAGCAGTTGCACAAGGAAGGTTTGCTGACCCTGATGTGGCTGTTTCCCAGTGCTCCCTGGACAATGCCTTGGATATTTCTCAGCACAGTCACTAATGACACTGGGATTTCTCATTAGTGTGGCAGGAGTTCTGGAGGTTGAAAGCACACTTGTAAATTAGTAGCTACTGATCTGTGATTGACCTTTACTTTGTGATCAATAGCACAGATAGCACCAGAAGGGATAAGGCTAAAGATGGAAATTCTTGGTAAAGGTACCAGTGAGATCAATCACATCAAGCTCTGAAGTCCTCAAACCGCAGGTTACAACACATACACTTTTAAATACAGCTTTTCCTAAGAATTTTTGTTTGCCATCTGTTAACCAAAGACTTTTAATTCAAAAATTGCAGCTCAAGTGGATGGTACAGCTACTCAATGAACAGGTATCACCACACACAGCTCAAATTATGTGTCCCATTCATTTCACCTCCATGCAAGAGGTTCAGAAGCAAGATTCCTAAAGGAACAGCTTTTGGAGTGACAATTTTATGTGATCCTATCCAACACAAATACTCATATTGCTGCTGGGTCTTGAACAACAGCAAACAGCAACAAAGGTGACAGAAAAATAATATTATTCATCTTCTCCTCAGCATTATGTTTACATGAAGCAAGAAGTTTAAGTCACAAATGCCTCAGGCCCACTGATCATTAGGATAATCCCCCCTGCCTTTGGATAGCACACTGCAGGAAATGATCTGGCACACCATCTCCATGCTAGGCTACAACGCCCCAGGCAAAGAGGAGACTCATTCTAATACATTTCCCAGGACTGAGCTTTAATAGAATTAGTTCCTTTTTTTCCTTTCTTAATTCCCATTCAGCTATTCATAGTTGTATTCTCTGTATCAGCCTACATTCTTCCTCCTAAGTGTTTACAAGTGCCTGTACTGCATACAACCTTTATTTTGTACTCTGCCCAGATGCTGCCCAGTAGAGGCACAATATATATGTCTCATTATCTCCTTAAGCCCACAACATCTCCTTTTATTTCCCTGAGCATTTTGAGTGCTATTATTTCAAAGCCTCCCAGTTTTTCATCATCTCTAGGATAATTACTGATGATGATGATTATTATTGTATGCACAGGAACGTTTCTCCCTCTTCCTCTTCTCCATACTTTGAACCAGAGCATTAAGTAATCCTCCTAATTTATAAGATGGCTAGGTCCAGAAGTTGCATTTGGAATATTATGTAAGTAAATGTGAAAAAAACATTCTAAAAGTGGCACAAGAAAAATATCAGCTGGCAAAAAACGCATTGTTCCTGATTACCAAGCTTTTAGTTGGATCTGCAGCATTCCCTAAATCCTGCAGTACAACAAATGCAACAAATAAAATCATCTTACTAAGTTATAAAACAACTTAAGTGAGATTATGTAAACGATGGAAAAATCTTAATTCCTATAAAGAGGGATTTTTACTGCCTTTTGGGAAATTCTTACACATAGGAGATGTGTGTGTGAGAAATTTTTCTAGATATTCCAAAGGAAGGTATCAGGTACTCCATTATGTTGAGAAACAGACATTTGCCCCCATTTTCAACTCAGTATCACAAAATTCTCTGAAAAAAAAGTACTTGAAGATAAATTTTAGTGCACAACTTTAGGCATCACTGTAGGAATATGAGTAAGCATATAAAAATGTCACAAATAAATCATTAGGAAATAAATTTAGAAATCCAACGCAGAGGGAGATGAGATGAGTGCCAGGCAGAACATTTGTAGAGCCACAAGAGAAAGGGGAATGTTTCAGACACTGCAGAAATAAGGAGAGCCTGGAATATATTCCTTTCTGTAAATGGGAAGGAAAATCTAATCTCTCCCTTTCAATCACTTTTCCCCCAAGCCCTTCCAAAGTTTGTTTATTCAAATGAAACGGAACTTGGGCCAAAATGTAACCAAAGACATTTAGTGCATCCCAAATCTCAGTTCTAATTCTGGAACTGCAAACACATCTCTGCTGACATATGTCAGTTTTGCACTAAAAAAAAAAAGGTGGAACAGAGATTTCTGAATAAATTTGACTC